GAGGTCTGCGCGCCATGTGGGACCCTCCTCTGGTGGCCGGGGAGCAGCCGGGGATCGAACCGGCGCCGCAGAGGCCGCGGGGAGCTTTGCAACCCAGCGCTCGACCGCTGCGCCACCGGGGAGGCCCAAGAAAACAAATATAAATGCCTATATCCGGGCCTCCCCGGTGGCGCAGCAGTTGAGCACTGGGTTGCGAAGCTGCCCGCAGCCTCTGTAGCGCCGGCTCCATCCTCGGTCGCCAGGCGAGGGTCCTACATGGCACGCAGGCCTCTCGGGCCGCCCCGCTGCTCCCCTCAGCAGTGTGCTTTGGTCCTTCTGCCTGCTCTGCTCCCCACTCTGGCTCTGGTGAATTCTCTCACTCTCCCGCGCTTCTGACTGTACCCAGTGCTTGTATAAATAAATAAATAAATAAATCTTTTTTAAAAAAAGGCTATATCCACTGAACTTGAAAGAGTGAAGTTGCTTTAGGAATTAGTTTGTCTTTGTCTTGAAAAGGAATATAGTTTTGGTGAAACTGTCCACCCGTCCAAAACCTCTTCTAGGAATTAAAAAAAAAAAAGATGGCAGTAAGAAGTGATAGGGAATTTTCTGCCCCACTTTCTTTAGACTCTAAGAGGGATTCTTACAAATATAACTTGAAAAATGTTTTCGTATCTGAAGGAGTTAGTTCAAAAAGAATATTTAAAAGTAATAATTGCTGTCAGTAATATTGGTAAAATGACTGTCTCTAAACATTAGAGATAGTGGCCCAAATTCTAAATGAAAGAGATCTCTGTTTTGAAAAGACTATCCACTATTTCTTCCCTTTAAAAGAAGTAACTTTGTTCCCTAGGTAAGCACCTTCATTGATTTTTTCCTTCACTTGTCCTAGACAAAAAGCAAAAGAAAGAAACAAACAAAAACACCAAACCTCTTGTTTCCTTTGTAAATCTGCAATTTGCACTCCCGCTGCTGCCCTGAGGAGGGAGAGAGTTGGTGACAGGAAGCACCTGCATAGTCACGAGTGGGCAGAGGGATGGCTGTCCCTTGCCAGGGCAGAGACTGCACGGATATAGTCCTTTTCTCTTTGGGAGGCGTCACTTCTTTGTGGAGTGGCCTGTTTGTTGCTGATGTTGGATAACTTGGCAAAACTGGAAATGGGCCACAGGTTCCAGGATGGACCCAATCTCCCTGTCTTTACCCTCAGGCCTGTGCTCTGCTCCCTAGAACAATCTGATCCTGCTTGGGCCTTAGGCCTTGTGATAAGGCACTGTGCCTGAGGGTTTTGATTTCTACAGCTGGGTTAATGTTCCTGTTACTTCCCTCTACCCCCACCTCCTTGTGTGAGTCAGGTTCTGGTCTTGGGGCACCCCCATTCCAGGTTTTTCACTCTTGTCCTCCATCAATTCTTCCAAGGTAGGAAACTAAATTTGAGACCTGTTTGTAATTGCAGTTTGTCAGGGGTGTGCTCTTTTTTCTTTTCTTGACTCATTCATTCATCACTGCTTATAGCAGGAGAGTACCCCACCCGCAGTCTCTGCAGCTTGGCCTGACTCCACCCCCTAACCACCAACCACAAAACAGATTCAGGGATGTCAAAGTCTGGGCCACAGTGTATTGTACTGCACCATGATTTGCAAAGAGAAACGTTGTATGTGGAGCTGAGAGCCTTCATTCTTCTCATAATACAGTTTAATAACAGCTGCTTTTTAATGTTTTCAATAGGATCCATTTCAGGATCTGTAGGTAAATGACGTTTTAGTCATGCTTTATTTTATTTTATTTATTTTTTTCCAGATTTATTTACTTATGAATACAAGAGCTGGGGTGCAAGCCAGAAGTGCGGGGGTAGGGTTAAGAGGATTCACCAGAGACAGAGTGGGGAACAGAACAGGTAGACTGACTGAAATCCACTGCTGAGGGGGGCAGCAGGGAGAAGGAGAGGTGTGCGGGGGGCCTATGGGTCACTTTCCTGGTTGGGGATCGAACTCCTGACGCAGTGGCTGCTGATGGCTTCATAGTGCTGTGCTTAACCCCTGCGCCACCCGGGTGGTCCCTAGTCATGCTGTATGTCAGCTTCAGGTAAGGGGATTTTTAAGAATAATTTGGAAAAAAAAAATCTTTCCCAGAAATTCAAGCAACCTTGTTTGCCGTTTCAATGACTAACGGATAATTTAGAGTCACAGTATTTTGGGCGAGGAGGAGACTTTTCTCTGCATCTCAGAGTTTATTTACAGACCGTCCCGTCATGACCTGAGGCCGGGTGGGCGTGGCCTCCGGGAGGCCCTGCCCGCCCAGCCCCGCCCAGAGCACAGGGGCTGCACCTGCGCAGCTACCGCACATGCGCGCTCGCCCAGGCCCTGCCCCTGGCCCTGCTGGCCCCCAACTCGGGGTGAGGTTCTGGGGTGAGCCTGGTCCTTCAGGAACCCCGTGGGGGCGCCACTGCCCTTGACCTGGGGAGCCGGGGGCGTTGGAGCAGACAGGTGAGGCCGAGGGAGAGAAGGCGCAATGGCTCGGGGAGGCCCCAGCGCGGCGGGCTGGGTGTGGAGAACTGGGGCTTTGGGGGTTCATTGTGGGGCTGGCAGGATGCAGGGGTCCGGTTCCCTCCTTGCACGTGGCCCCGCTGCTTCCTGAGACGTTTGCTCCCGACTGTGGCCCGCGAGGGCGCCCTGGCGGGTCCTGGGCCCTCCATCCCCGCGCCGGCCTGTGCATTTTCATCCCCGCGGTTTACAGTGCACTTTGGGGAACGGGTTTTCCACTTTCCTGGGTCCGATCGCCCTCCCGCCCCTGGTGTAGCAGGCCAAGCCACATTCCAATCTCCCAGGGTGCAGGCTCTGACCAGTGGGCTGCGTGGGCCTGGGGCTCTGCTTTTCTCACGGGGTCTGAGGTGCTGCCCCTAATGGGCCTGGGCCCATGTCTGAGGGCAGAGGCGTCACTTCCCTGTCGCGCAGCTGATATGGCCATTCAGAGCCTGAAAGGGGAGTTTCACACCTGAAACTGCCTCATGAGGTGACTTTAGACTCTCCCTTGAATAGAATCCAGGCATTCCTGAGCCTCAAGTGAGCAGGAGCCACGCGGCTGCTGCACTCTGGCTGCACGACTCTGGTTTTCTAAAATGGGTTATTATTAACTGACTCAGTGTAGTGAAAGCAGTGACCCTCTCTGAGTCACTAAAGGGCCCACCTGAGAAACACAGCAGGTGCAGCCGGGCCCTGTCACCAACGGGGTGTGCAAAGTTCTTCTTTGGGGAGAATCTGAGACACTGAAGGGCCCTTTCCTGAGCTCTGGAGATCTTTTCTCTAAGACAGCTGGTGCCAAGAAGATTCCTCTTATTTCAGGGGCTGCATCAGCCAGTGACTCATTCACCTGGGAAGTAGCATTTTGTAGATAATCCATGTTGCCTCTTAACCATTCTAATGTGTTAACCTTTTGTTACCTAATCCCCTGTTATGAGGAGAAGTTGGGCTCCTCAGGGAAGGAGAAAGGAATTGCGTTTACTAAGCACCTGCTGGAGGTGACCTGAGGCACTGCAGTGCATGCGTGACTGAAGTGAGTGATCGCCATTAATGACATTGTAGAGATGTTACTCCTACTCCGTGGTGGAGAACCTTAATCTTGGCGTGTTTCCAGCTCCTTGACCTGACTCTGGTTATTCCCAGAGGTGTTTTTCCTTCCTCATTACTTCGTTGGAGTCTTAGCACCCAAATAATTGTCGATGCTTCGGATTTGTAGGGATGGCAGGCCTACCCGGAAGTCAATCCATGGCTGCAATTCCACAAAAGTGGAACGCTCTATGTTCTGCCATCATCTGTCTTACTGACTGTGGAATCTCTGCTACCATCATCAGGATCTGAGCTCCAGGAGGAGACAGAAAATGACAGTGTGCCATTGGCCGGACCCTGGAGATGGCTGTAAATGTGAGTTGATTTGAAACACAGGAATTTCATGCTATACTGTCCTATTCTTATTTGTGGTTTGCTTTTTGGTAAGGCCAATGACATAGGCAGAAAGAGGATATTTAGTAATTTCAAATCTTGTTTGATGAAACATCATGGCTCCATTTGTCACTTGGCCTTTTTTCTTCCATAGGTATGTACAGCTTTCAGAACTCTTGTATTGGAAAGCTTGAAGGGTCTGGACTGTCAATGAGTGTCATATCGTCTCTCTTTTTTAATCAAAGCAATATAAAGTTTGTGAGTTAAGCAGCATACATTTCTAAATTTAAAAACAAACAAACAAAAAAGGCAAAATGTGTTTCTTTGGATTTATGAATGAGAAGGAGCCTAGGTTTAGGCCAGAAACCCAAACCCCCTCACTAATATCAATGAGGTGAGCTTGACATTCACTCCAATTGAGTCTGCTCTGCCCAAGCCTGCCTGACTGGCAGGAAGGCCACAGTTTCACCCTTAAAGTAGTTTTTCTATGACCACAACAGAATGATTTACTTTGAAAATAATTTGACTGGTTCCTTTTCCCCTGCCAAAGATTGGGAATATAAGTGCACCAGTGAGTTTTCATGAGCTAGAGTTGACTGGTTCTGATCCTCAGAGAGAGCTTTGTACATTCTAGGAAATTTCAACCATAGATGAAAATAAAACGACCTATGGCCAATGATGATCTTTCATCCACAGAGAAACACTCTTATGAGTTAGCTGACTCTTTTTCCTGTGATTTCCATTATTTTGACTTGTGATCTAGAACAACCGTGTATAAGGGCAGTTTATATCCATGTAGAGTTTCAGAATCACAACATGAATCCCTATGAACTGGGGGATGAAACATACTATCAAATGTCATCATCTTCTTCTCTGAGTTCGCACCAATAGGAGACCTTTACAATAACAATTCCCCATGCTTTGCATGACACGTTCTCACATAATGGTGTATTAAGAAATGTAGCATGAAAACCTGATTTTCATTTTGTCTGGTATGTGAAATAGTAATCAATCCTCTTTGGTTCATTTTCTATGGAGACTCAACAAGATGTGGGCAAGGTGATCCCCAGGATTGGCTGCAGTGAGAGCCTCCTGCTGTCACTGCTGTATCGTGTTCCACTGGATGCCAAGTCCATTCTTGTCCACATGCACACTGGGTAAGTTCATTCCTGTTTTCTATCCATGCTGGAATAACACTATCTTGGGAATTTTATATTCCAATTTCTTGACTGATCACGGTCACAGTTTGATACATCTGAGAGTGGATTGTTTCCTGGGGTTTTCATTGAGATGGTTTCCAATCAATTCTTCCTGTATATAAAGAGCCAGGGGACATTTTTATGAATCAAGATTTCCTTTTAATATTTATTTATATATGCACACAAGAACCGAGATGCAGGGCAGAGATGTGTGTGTGTGTGCACGCGCGTGTGCACAGGTCAGGATGGGGGGGTAGGTGGATGGTGAGAGAATCCACCAGAGACAGAGTGGGTGGCAGAACAGGTCCACTGACTGAAATACACTGCTGAGCGGAGCAGTGGGCGAAATAGGAGAGGTCTGCCACACCATGTGGGTTTCTCCCTGGCTGGCTGGGAATCGAACCCGCGCTGCAAAAGCTGCAGACAGCTTCACAGTGCAGCACTCAACCCCCTGCACCACCAGGGAGGACCCCAATGGAATTATTTTTACATAGTAAGCATTTAAAATATTTTTTCTTGAGTGCTGTAGTACGTAATTAGTCACTTGCTGTTTCCAGCCATGACTTCTCATGACATCCAGGTCTCCATGCCACAGTCAGGCACAGAAGTTTTGTTTCTAACGGTACAACTGGGAGGAGATGAGTCTATACCTTTGAGAATGGACAATTAATGAAGGACCAGACATGTCAAGTGGCATGTGAAGGCCAGAACAGTTGTTGAGATGAAGATAGCCAAGCTGGAACAATTACCCACAATACAGTTCTTCCTGAAAGAAGAGATCGTGTAAAATGGCTTAGATCAAATCCCATGTTATGTTTGTTGCAGGTATAGATAAATATGTTTCTGTAAGAGAAGTCCCATATCAAGTTTTAAACAATGCGTATTCTTTGAGAGGAACACTGGAGCATATGGGAAGTCCCCTAGTCCATAATGCAAATAATCATTCAATACATTGTGAATATGGGATAGAATTAAACTTTCAATCGAATACTTCTCAACATCACAGATGTGACTTGGAAGATAAAATATCTACATGGGATCCTATTGAGGAGTCCTCAAAACTTATCCAACATCACACAATTCATGAGAAAACCCATAATTGTAAAGAATGTGGCAGAGCCATCAAATGGTGCTCAAGACTCACTCAACATCAGAGAGAGAGACTGCACAAATGTGAGGAGTGTGGTAAAGGCTTTTATTGGCAGTCACAGCTCACTCGACATCTCAGGAGTCATAATGGAGACAAGGCTTAGATGTGTCCAGACTGTGGTAAAGCCTTTCTATACTTGGGTCACCTTTCTCAACATGGGGGAACCCATAATGGTGAGAAACCTTACAAATGTAAGGAATGTTGGCAAAGTCTTTAACCATCAGCCTAGTCTTAGTCATCATCACAGAATTCATACTGGGGAGAAAGCTTACAAATGTCAAGAATGTGGCAAAGCCTTTAACCAGCAGTTAAATCTTCCTCAACTTCTGGTAATTCATACCAGGGAGAAAGATTACACATGTGAAGTATGTGCCAAAGCCATTAACAAGAAGTCAATTCTTAATCATCATGATCGAATTCATAGTGGTGAGAAAACTTACAAATGTAAAGAATGTGGCAAAGCCTTTCATCAGAAGTCAAGTCTTACTCAACATCACAGAATGTGTATTGGAGAGAAATGTTAAAATTTTGAAGAATGTGGCAGTGTCTTTAACTGGAAGTAAAATCATTCTGAACATCAGGCAGTGCATACTGGAGAAAAATCCATAATATAAAGTGATGAGTGGGTTGTCCTAATGGTTATTTTGAAAACACCAGATTTTCATTTTGGAAAGTAAGTTTAAAGAGGTAAAAATGTGAGTAATTTATAGTCACATCTAAATGCATATTAAAACATTGCCGCACAGTAGTAAGTCAATAACTGAGACATTATTTCAAATCAGAATATTTTTATAGAGCATAAACCAACATTAAAATGCTAAATATGTAATAGTAGAGTGTAAATGTTCAAGATGATGTCTTTGGGACAGGTATAGTTATTTTCTATGTCCTTTTTTATCAGTCATGCTTGAGATATTATGAAGAGACAGGATGAATGTAATTCAACCTTAAATCATTTCCTTCTATGGCTATTGCTTCATATATCTGTGAAGTCATGTTTTTTTGTTTTTTTTTTTTTTTTTTTGCTACCTCAAACATCTAAGGGATCCTCCTCTAGTAAATTGATTTTTTATGTCTAACTTTCTGGGTTAGTTTAGGAAAGTGTATTGTACATGTATGAAGACAATCTAAAGGGATATGTTGTTTGTGGTTGAATCAAAACATTGATCCAAATGACCATTGTGGCCTTCATTGTTGGCATAAAAGTCAGACAGGAACATCCTGAATTTCAAATAATTTCAGCAGTTTCTCAAGGACATAGACTACAGCATACTAAAGTCCTGATGTCTCTTCATAGTAGTAATAGAGGTCATGAATTTTATTTGACATTTGCCAAAAGATTTCTTCACAGGCACTTGATGAAAGAACAGGTGACTTTTTTATAACAGAGCATCAAATTCTTGTCCATTTACATTATCTAAATATAGAGTCTCTATGTTGACCACAAACTCTGGGGTCCTGGTATCAGAAGAATAAGACTGCTTCTTAAATGCCTGTATATTGATTTTTTAAAAAAGGTTAATTTATTTATGCATACAAGAACTGGGGTACAGGCCAGAGGTATGGGGTGAGAAGACTCACCAGAGACAGAGTAGGGAGCAGAACAGGCAGAGTGACTGAAATATACTGCTGAGGAGAGCAGCAGGCAAGGCAGGAGAAGTGTGCTCTGCCATGTGGGTAGCTCTCTGGTCGGGGGGATCAAACTCATGTTGCAGAGGCTGCAGACAGCTCCATAGTGCTGAGACTTAACCCCTTGCACCACCAGGGAGGCCCCACCGTAGGATTTTTAATGGCTGCATACTTTCTTTATTGTGTGGAGGGACCCTAATTTATTATACTTGTTCCTTAGAGGATGAAAAAGCAACAAGGGGACAGAGTTTTCAATACCTTTGTGTTGTGAAGAGCTTTCCTCTGAAGCCCTGTGTGACTGCAGTGCAGTCATGATGGGGGATGAGTGAGTGGGTGAGGTGTAGGAATGGCCAAGGGGTGAAAGGGACTTACCAAGAAAGCCAAAATAGAAAACATGTGTTTGGGAAGATGGCCCGAGGCAGCTCATGGGGTGTCCAGCATGGGCAGCAGTCGAGGGGTTTCCTGTATACCGAAGAGTGGAGCAGAGGGATGCAGGGTTTTAGAAAGCAAACTTGGCTTGGTTTTCATACTTGAGCACCCTCCTGGGGTTGGGTGCAGGTGGGGGACCTGATTTGGCTAAAAGCAAGTTTCTGGCAACAGTGAAATGGGCAGTCAAATAGGCATCAATTCCAGTTGTAGAAAGTTCCATTTTATGGTATGGTCCTCACAGATTTCAGGTGAGGAATGCAAGCACCTGCTTAATTGTAACAGTTCTTCCTAGAACCTTCTTTTTTTCCATCATTATTCCAGATAAAATTCCCAAGGGATCCAGGTGTCCAGAGGCATGGAGAGGAGGCCTGGGGTCTGAGGACACAGGTTGCTAGAATCATTCCCAGGCCTATTCTCTCGGTAGTTCTCTTTCCCTCTTGGCCTGATTTTATTTTGTGAATCTCAACCCAGTAAAGGCTCTCCTGGCCCTCTCTAGAGAGGTCTCTCTCTGTGAAATGATTAACCATACCCACCCTTTCAGCCTTATGTGTGTGGGTGGGAGACTCCTCGATGGGTCTCGATAAGTTTCTTTTCTGCTCTGTGATGTCTGAAAAGAGGAAGATCTACTGAAGAAAGGAAGTTCCTACCATCTTTTGCCTTTCCTTCTTTTGTCGTTTTTTGAATGGGGCAGTATTGATGTTCACTGATCAATATTTATGTTCACTGATCAGAGGGTAGGAGGAAACCCTGAGTTTCTACTGTGGGTTTATATCTGAGTTCACTTCAGAAAAGCAGGACATGGTGGGATTTTTGTTTGTTTTTTGGGAGGTTGTTTTGTTTTTGGTGAATTTATTTTGAATTCTCTGTGGGCTTAACAGAGTTCACTGCCCCAAAGCACAGAGTGCCTAAGAATAAGGTAACCTATACACATGCCAGACTAGAAGGTTGTACACCTAAAACCTTATAATGTTATAAGTTATAACCTTATAACCATATAACCTTATAATTCAAGGTTACTCTAATACAAGTTTTTTTTTTTTTTTTTTTTTTTTTTTTGGGACCCTCGCTGGCGGCTGGGGAATGAACTGGTGCTGCAGAGGCTGCACCGTGCTCAACCTCTGCGCCACCAGGGGAGGCCCTGCAGTACAAATTTTTTAAAAGGGCAAATTTTTTTTTTCCTGCCTGAAGAATGCAAGCTCCATGACATGACGGACATTGTTGGCTGCAGCACTGAGTACCTATTGGTCACTGGATGACCAAGCCATGTTTTGTACTGGTTCAAGTGTCATTCCTCTCTGAAGCCATTCTCAGTGATCCTGGCAGAATGGATCCCTGTGCCTGGTTTGATTTACAATTTCTTTTTTTTTATAATAAATTTTATTTTTATATTCCCCATACAATTGCAACCCCCTTATTTTGACCCCAATCCCTCCCCTCCCGCCCCCTACCCCCCATAGAGTGTCTCTGGTTCATAGTTTTTTGTTGATTTTGATTTTCACTTTCTTATAGTTATTCATTTTCCTGGTCCCTTATTTAAGTTTTCTAGATTCCTGCTATGAGTGAGACCATCCGGTATTTTTCTTTGTCTTTCTGGATTATTTCTCTGAGCATGATCCCTTCTAGCACCATCCATGTTGCTGCAAATTGCATGTGTTTGTCTTTTTTGAATGCTTAGTAATATTGCATGGTGTATATGTACCACATCTTCTTGATCCAGTCATCTATTTTTGGGCATTTGGGTTGTTTCCAA